AGGGAACAAAGGCACACCGACACACAGACAAATCCAACAAACACGGAAACCAAAAGGGAAAAAGAAAAAGAAAAAAGGAAGGAACACATACAAAAAAATTAAAAAAAAAAAGAAAAGAGGCAGGAGGGAAGATGAATAATAAAAATAAAAATACATTAAAAAGAAAAAAGAAGAAAAGAAAAGGAAGAAGAAAAAACCCAATATACAAAGGACAGTCTAAAGCATAGAACCAGAATTCCCAGCTACAAATAAATAGCTGTGTGTATGCAATGCTGGTAGAAGAGCATATACAAAGAGAGAAATGACAGGGCAGGGAGGAAGCGAAATTGGAAATGAAATGAGCAGGCAGAAACACTAAGAGGCTTAATTCAAAGAGAGAAAGAGGGTAATATGGTTGGAGAGAAAGCGAAAGAAATGACGATAATGATACTCAGAGAAACTATATAGTCTGATTACTCCAGAGAGAAAGAGATAAAAAGATAGCAGTGGAGGTGTAGAATTTACATCTAGAGAATGGATTAAATGTGACTGTTTAAGCAAGCCAGTGACCAGAATTAATCAGTTCAGTGCATCCATGTTGGTCTTGCCTGGCTCTGGTAAAGAAGAAGAAGAAGAAGAAGAAGAAGAAGAAGAAGAAGAAGAAGAAGAAGTAGGAGGCAGCTCTCTAGCAGGGATGGGCGTGGTTTTGTCCAGTGCGTCCCTTGGGGATCCTGCCTTGCTGGTTGTGGGGAGAAAAGTGGAGGCGCCCCAGTCCCTTCTTGAACCAAGCATTGCAACTCACTCTTTTGGGTGTGATCTCCCTGTGCCGGGGTCGTAGCCAAGGTGGGCCGTACTCTATATCCCAGGCCAGGCCTCATTTCCAGATCTCAGTCCGCGTGCCCCATTGAAATTGCCCGAAATATAAACTCGCAGTTGAGCCCCTCAGAGCAGTTTCAAGACTCTTGCCTTCCCCCTGGGAATGGAGCCCGAATTGGCTGCTCCCGTCCCTTCCAGGTCATGATGGCGAGCAGGGAGGAGTTTCACCCGGGGTCACGTGAGACCAATGCATCCCGCCTAGGGTCAGCTGGACAGCAGGGAACCAGGTCCCTCTGTGTCCCCAGCGGAGATTTTTCTCTTCTCCAGCAACAGGGACAGTGTCTTGAGCAGTTTCGGCCACTCTTTCTTCGTTCCCCCCCTAGACTCACTGAGGCTCCCCACAAAGGGGGATTCCCCCCTCCCTCTGTGTCTCCGGTCCTGGCCCGATTTTATCTTCCCCAGTTCGCACTCACGCTATAAGGTTTTCTCAGCAGACTCTGTCTCCTTTTCCTCCCAAACTCCTGGATTCTGTAAGGGTTCCTATGGCTTCAGGCCTTCTCTGTGCAAGATATGGGGGCGAGTGAAATGTACAGAGCTCCCTACTTCTCCACCATCTTGCCTCCCCTGTAAGTGCCCTCCTTAATGTCCATCATTTATCTAGCCTATATTCTTTAAAAGATATGTCTCTTATCTTATAAAATTACTTTTTAAATTGCATGCAAGAGTAAATTAAAATTTGCCAGTAAATATGTATGGATACTGCTTAAAATAAAATGCTTCTATATAACTTACAAAAGAAAAGCCTAGGACCGTGTTTCTCTTATAATATTAACAACATAAGCAGTAGCTTATGTTATTTATTTTGAGTTAGCACAGGTCAGGCACTGTGCTAACAGCTTTATATACAGAAGAATTTTGAAATATTTGTAATTAATGGTAACAATATGATTCTACAACGCATGTTTTTTAATCAGGCTACGCTGCCTCAAATTTTATTGACCACTACAGTGCCCTCCCCAAAGTTTTACTTAGTCTGTGTCAATATCTTCATTAATTTGATCCTCTATTCTCCAAATAAGAGAGTCCTATTTCATGGGGTTATAAAACTCAAATACAGTTTTATTTAAAAATACATAATGTGTATATATTTATGTACGTGAATGTACATATATATGTATATGTATGTGTACATATGTACATATACATTTGTGTGTGTGTGTATATATATATATATACACACTATATTTTATAATATATGTAAAATATCCAAAGATTAGTGCCATTATTTTAGGACAAAATCAGTTAAATAGTTTTTGTGGATTCTATGCTCAGAATATCGTTCACTCATTAAACAAAGATCCAAAGGGCCTTCAGGCAAAAATAGCATAGCAAAGTTGACAGCATACCAAAGTTGTTGTTCTGTTTGTTGTTTTGTTTTATTTAACTTATTCTCTGCATAGACTACAAATGCATATAGCTATTTCCAAACACTCTTTTCTATGTAGGGCCCTTTAAATATTCAAGCAAGGCACCCAGAGTTGAAATATAATAAATCAGTTGCCACAGCATAGTGAAAAATTCATCATCACTCAACACTACTATGTAAACTACACAAACCAAGTGTTAGAAAATGCTGATAATGGTTATTTTCTTTTCTCAAGTATGTTCTTACTATTTTGATCCATGTTGGAAAGACAGCTATAGCCATTTCATTGAGGTCTAACTCAAGGTTAGGATTTACATGGCATACAGTCTCCATCCCATTAGTGATCGCTGTCATTATATTTAGGTGTGTAAGTGTACAGAGCTGGAATTTTTAAACCATTTTGCATCTAATTTTTAAATGCTTAGTTTACACTTTTGATATTTATTGTGATTACTAATCTTTTAGTTTTTATGTTATTTTGTGCCTCCTATTTGCCCTACTCTTTTGGACTGTTAGTTTCTTTTCCTGCTGGAGAGTGGATTCATCTCTTTATTCCCCTCCCTTTCTCTCCCTTGGAAGTTACACATTCCAGTTCTACTCTTCCAAGGTGACCTTTGACATTTTAAATAAGAGCATGCTTGGATTTTCAAAATCTGAAGTTCATATCCTTTTCCCAAGCAATACAAGAAACTCAGAATGCCCTAATTCTGATGGTATGGATTCTGCACTGTTTGGAAGTCAACTTCGTTACTTATAAAATTTGAAAATCAGAGATGTCTGTAGCATGATTCCTCTTTGTAAGGTCATAAGTTGGTGGGTGAAATTAACTTACTATGATGAATGTAATTTAAATATTAAGAGATCAAACATTTTTTGACAAACATTTTTGTATACCTAATTCCCTATAGCAAACATTCTTAGGCTCAACATTAAAAGCCACAATCCTAGGAACCATTAAAATAGAACATAAAATGTTTCAGAAGTACTCTGTTCTTCTTCATAAACTTAGAGAAAAATTCAGGTTTTTGATGACAAGAAGCAGAAGAAATACACATATAACCTAAGTATTACAGTACCTGTCATGTAAATATTTGCTAACATTACATTTACTATTTTGTTTCAAAAATGTACTGTCAAAAGTATCCCACTTTTTCAGTTTTTGTTCAGCTACTAACCAGAACTAAAACTCCAGTTATATTTTTTAAACTGAATTAAGACTATATATATAGCTCATAATTCTGCCTCACACAAATCACCTTTCTTCCATGTTATATTATTACTGTCTAGTATTCCATTTCCATATTGTTTTCATATTCTCAAAGCTTTATGATTTTTATACAGTTATTCCATGCTTAAAGTTACTAACGTATTTACATATACCTTTGCTTAGTATTTATCCTAACACTTCACTACTTCTTTGTAGCCCTGATTTCATCTTGTATTAGTGTTTATAGGAATGTCATGCAGTGGAAATATGTTATTTTCATTGAAGTATAAGTAGTAAATACCACACCAAACCTTGGCAAGTGGTAGTATCTTAAAACTTAGGTACCACATGAAATCTAAACCCTTTTGGTGAACTTTCTGTTTTATTATTTTAAAATTCATTTGTCTACCTTGCTCTTTTAAAGAATCTTCTATCCAGGCATGGTTTTGTAGCATTGTGCACTGGTCACATGGAAAATGATTCCCAGACCTGAGCAGATCCTTCCAATATTAACACATTTTATTACATAATAGTTTATTAAATCACATTTGCAAGTAACACCACTCGTCTCATCAGATATGTCTAACTATTAGGTATGCGGTTATGCAACAGTGGTATATATAAGTTTTTCCAAATTCCAGTTTTCACTAGAAAAGTCTACTTTTATCATTGGCAACAGATACTTCCAATTGTTTCCCACAAAGTGACAGGCTCCTTTGTTTCATTTCTTAATAAAATATCTGCCAAACGCCTAAGTCTGAACAACCATAATTTATCTGTTAGTCATTCTTTTAAGTTAAAAAAAAGTGATATTCCACTAAAACAAAAAGTTATTCTTTCAAGTTAAAAAAATAGTGTTTTCCAAGTTGAGAACAAGCTTGGCTCATTTCAGAAACTGAACAGAGTTCGTTATGACTAGAAAAAAAAGTAGACAATGTGGGATGGATGGGGGGATGGGGGGACTTGTAGATAAGATTATTCAGGACTTATTGACAGAAGTAAAACATTTGGAATTTATTTCAGGTGTAAAGGAAAGCATGTAAGGATGTTTGCCAGGAGGAGTAGCAAAGTCATAATTACATTTTTTTAAAAGATTACTCCAGTGAGGTGCCTGCGTGGCTTAGTCAGTTAAGCATCTGACTCTTGCTTTTGGCTTGCGTCATGATCTCATGGTTTCTGGTTTTGAGCCCTGCATCTGGCTCTGTGCTGACAGTGGGGATCCTGCTTGAAATTCTCTCTCTTTCTCTCTCTCTCTCTCTTTCTCTGCCCCTCCCCTGTTCACTTGCTCTCTCTCTCTCTCTCTCTCCCTCTCAAAAATAAGTAAATAAACAAACTAACTAATAAAAATGTTTTTTTAAAAAGATTACTCCAGATGCCCTAGAGAGAAAGGGGCAAGAAACTGAAGCAAGAGAACAATCCAGAGGAGATCACCCTCCGGAGTGAGAAGACAATAGTGTAGACCAACAAGGCGGCCCCAGACACAGGAAGGAGTGATGAGTTCCAGCCCCTCATTGGAAGGAGCTGACATGAGACAATAACAAAATCATATTTGTATGTGAATTGCCTTTTCAGATCATAAAGAAAGCATGCAGTTCCATCCTCCCCAGAGATGTCAGTCTCCAACCCGCTTCGGCCCTCAGGAAACCTTACCGCACTATAAAAACACAAGCTGGAGAAAACCTTTCCCCACAAGTTCCAGTGAAAAGGTAAAACAAATACTTCCCTGCAGTGTCTTTCTAAATGAACCTAGCATCTAAAGAGAGCTTTATTGAACGATGCCTAGAAGGCGATCATCATGATTGGCTTTAATTTTCTTCCCCTCCTGGCTACATATTACTGGCTTTTAATATTTTTACGATGTTTTATATTATTTCATATTTCTCTTTACCAGTCTTTAATTTGCACACTCTCCGATTCTCAAAGTGGCTTTTTAAAATTAATCCAAAAAATAGAGATATTTAGGACTGTGTTTCATATTTACTAGCTGTTCAATAATCTTTCAGGACTAACAGGGATTTATATATTGCAATCCTTTTTCTTATTTTTAATGTTTATTTATTTTGAGAGAGAGAAAGAGCAGGGGAGAGACAGAGAAAGAAGGAGACAGAGAATTCCAAGCAGGCCCTGCATCTGTCAGCACAGAGCCTGACACGGGGCTTGAACTCACAAACCGTGAGACCATGACCTAAGCTGAAATCAAGAGTTGGACGCCTAACCTACTGAGCTACCCAAGCACCCCTGCAATTCTTTTTCCAATAAAAGATCCACATATCCTATACTCATTTCATTTGAACAGTCCACCAACTATTTATTGAACATTTATTATATGCCACACAATGTGCTAGAGGATATGGTCCCTGTCCAGAGGAGACGCAGAGCAGAGAAAGATGCTGAGGGATAACAGATGTACTTTTGTTTGTCCTTCATCTATTTCCTGGTCTCTCTCTAAAATAATCCCCATCCCTATGATCTTCTTGGACCACATTGCATTTACATTTACTATGTGGAGAGGCAGGTCAAAACTATCTTTGTACCTTCCATCCCCTTCCCTCAATTACCCTGTAATATTACTTATGAAAGACTTTCACTATAAGGCACAGAAAGATATGCTTCTTCTGGTCTCCATCCCACATCCTCACATGCTTGGGATCCTGCTATGGAGCTTGCAAAAGGTTGAAAGCAGAAGCAGAGCATACACGATATCTCTGGTCCATTCCTATAATCCCTGCAGAATCCTAAAGGTCTTTTGTTGATTTTATTAATATCTACTTAAATTCTAAAAGAGGTCCCATACTTGTAAGTTAGACTTTGGGAAACTTTTGCACATACTTCTGCTACTGCCCCTTTTTATGTACTTGGCTTCCTTTCCCTCTTTCATCTGCTTCAGAAGCACTGGAATCCCTGACTTGTAACCAAATATCTCTCTAAAATCACACACCTCCCAGAGCCTGCACTCCCACAGGCAGGGGAAAGGCTTGCAGTAGATCGGGAGTTCCCTGATTGCCAACAATTTCAATCCACCTTTATGATTTGTGATCTACCCGTGTATTATCAATAATAATGTTCACTTATTAGTATTATTTATATAGTTGACTCTTTTTTCGCTTTATATCACCACTCTAAAGAGAAAACCAGTGTCACATACCATAGATAGGAAGTAACCTTAAAACTAATTGCAACATTCCACTCCTGATCATATATGTATGCCCCAAACAACTGAAGGCTGGGACTCAGACGACTATTTGTGTGCCCATGTTCATAAAGGCATTTTTTCACAAAAAAGCCAAGAGGTGGAAACAATCCAAAGGTCCATTATGTGTGTGTGTGTGTGTGTGTGTGTATACATATATGTGTGTATATATATCAGCTCTAAAAAGAATGAAATTCCCATACATGCTACAACATAGATGAACCTAAAAAAAAATTACTCTTAGTGAAATAAGCCAGACACAAAAGAACAAATCCATGAAATCCATGATTCCACTTCCGTGAGGGCAGAATAGGCAAATTCACAGAGACGAGGTAGAATGGCAGTAGCCAGGGGCTGGGAGGGAATGGAGAGCTGTTTAATCTGTCTAGAATTTCAATTTGGGATGATGACAGAGTTTTGTCAATAGACAATGGTGATGGATGCAAAATAATGAGAACTACCCAATGTTCACTACATTCATTATATACTTAAAATGGTTTAAATAGTGAATCAAATGCTATATATATTTTACCACATCTTAAAGTCATTTTAACTCAAACAAAACAAACCCATTAAATTATAGCAAGACCTCTTCGCTCACTAATGGCTGTCAGCATAAGGATGGTTCTTCTGTTACAACAGAGATTAGAAATACCAGAGAGATATTAAGGACATCCTAGAACAAGAATGAAACAATCCCTCTTGAATTATTCAAAGGGCTAGAAAGATAACTGAAGGGGCTGCTTCTACCCCAGGCAATTCCGAGTTCTTTAATGCTGTTTTTGAATCCCACCAAAACTTACCTGCCAGCACTCCTGACCCCACCTGGAGAAACAGGACTATAAAGTCTCTAAGTGCTTCCCGTTTGAACAAGGAAATAAAATCAGCATAAAAGAAATGCACCATGACGGATCCCTGCTAAGCCCCTGGACTGGCTGCGAAGCCCTCCAGAAGCAGCAGACTACTCTGTACTCTGAAAGCTCACACTTCTGAGGCAGACGGGGGCTCTCAGGCTCCTTTCTTTCTGGATGGAGCCTGTCACATGGGTTTGCTGGAGTGGAGCAGAGCTGGTCCTGCCTCTGGGCCTTTCCAGTACCCACTCCTCCCTGGGGGAAGGGACTAGGTGAAGGAATTTATTCCAAAGGGGGTCTTAAATAAGAGATGACTTTGATCCTCAACTTGATGGAAGAGAACAGCAGAGCTTGGGGGGGGGGCGGTCAGGGGTAGGAGGAAAGGAAGATGGAGGAGGAGAGGGAGGGTTTCTGAGCAGCAGGACTGGCTTACCCAAAGGGAATAGCAAAAACGTCTGGCTGACCTGACCCACATCCTCAGACTGGAGGGTGGTAACCAGTGAGGTTGCAGGGTGAGGCTAGAGTTAGCTTATGCCTCTCCCAATGGTGCTCACACATCCTTGGGGTGCCCATTGTTGTATGTACCAGGAGGACCAGAGACTCTGAGAGAACAAAGACCTAGCTCTTGCCAAGCATATGACAGGTGCTGACTTCTAGAGCCTGCTCTGTCCTGACATGCCTAGGTCACAGGAGTATTGCAGGCACGGATTGGGATAATGAATGAAGAATGACCTTGGAGATGCTGGGCTCCTGCAGGAGATTGTTTGATGTTATTATCCTTGGACCCCAGTAAAGGAATTGCAGATCCATAATACAGCTCTCTGACCGCCCTTCCTTCTGTTGTGGTGCATTTTATAATCAAAATAATTCAACGGGTATAATAATGGGTCATGGTACAAGGAGAAAGCCGGACAGACCCAGGTCCACCACTTGCGACTTGAAGCAAGTGCTGTAAAGATGCTCTCATCTGCCCCTTTCCTTCTCTTGCTTTTTTAAGCTTTTTTTTTTTTTTTTTTTTTAGAGGGAGGGGGAGAGAATGAGCGAGGGAGGGGCAGAGAGAGAGGGAGAGAGAATTCCAAGCAGGATCCACACGCCATCGGCACAGAACCCAACACAGGGCTCCATCCTACAAACTGTGAGACCATGACCGGAGCAGAGATCAAGAGTCAGATGCTTAACGGATCGAGTCACCCAGACACCCCTCCCCTGCTGTTTACACAAGGACGAGGCCCACACTGGCTTCACAAACAATATGCATCCCACCTAAATCAGCTTCAGCAGGCGCAGACTCACAGAGCCCTGGTAGACAGAGGAGTTCTTATCCATGTTGAGTGTGGTGCCAAAGGGACTTCCTCAAAACCTGGAGTGAAATTTCTGGTTACTTTCGATGGCAGACAGACTCTGTCTTGCCAATTTCGTAATTCCTAAGCTGTAATTACCTTTCCTGTGTCTGTTTCCAGATCCAGGGGTGGAATTTTTGTAGTGCATGTTTATTATAAATCAAACTGTGATTTGGCATGAGTGGAGCGCAAGTACACTTTAGGTAATTAATTGATTAAAATTAATACTTCCTTTTGACCCTAAACTATTCATCATTTAACCTGCACCACAGGATGTCCAGCAGAATGACTGGTACATTGGAGAATACAGTCGCCACGTGGTGGAAGAGGCATTAAGGAAGGAGAACAAGGTAACACCTGTCAGAGGGTCCATCTCACTGTCTGCTGCCGTCACACAGTTTTCTAACACTGCTCTGATGCACCAGCCTGTATCTCTCGGTGCTCAGGAGGCTATCATTAAAAGGGGGACTCGGCTGTGTCACTGATTAGTCATGACTGCCTCTCATTCCAAAATGTCTTTCCATCTAGGTTTTTTTTTTTTTTTTTTTTTATTGTGAAGTGAAAACAGTAAAAGCAGCCCTTGAGTTTGGAGATCAAATGTGAAAGCGGGGGTGTACATGGAGGTCACCATGGAAGGTGCTTTCCTTCTGCTTTCTTCCAAGTTCATCTCATTACCAAAGGTCTGCCCAAAGTGCAGGTGAATCTTTAAGTCTCCTGACTTCAAGAAAGGTACAGGGATCATGAATGCTGTGATAGTCAGGATATGATAGGTTAGGCTGTAGTAACTACCCCAAGATCTCAGTTGCTTAGCACAGCAAAATAATTCTTGTTCACGTTCCAAGGCTAGATAGGTTGGTGGGTAGACCTAGGCTGCTGGAGACCACATCTCTGTGTGTGCTCACGCCAATCACACGCTGGCTCTTACCACATCCTCTAAAAAGGAACCTCATCTCTGCTCACGTTCCCTTGGCCAAAACAACTCACACGGCCAGGTCTACCTTCCAAGGTGGTGGGGAAGGGCAAACTTACCGTTTGACCAAAAGGAGAGGGGCACTGAAATACTTATGATCAGATCAAATGACCACTACAAGTATCATCACAAATAGCAAATAGCTATCAAGCAACTATTCAACTATGGGCAGAGAGCCCTACTTGATTGTGAGAAATAGCTCAGAAGTGACAGAAAGGGCCTCAAGAGTGATGCCACATCGAAACTTCGCCTCTGCTAACCAGTGCAATGTTTACTATTGAATGAGGAAATACAAAAATGAACAAGCTCGTTAATTAGTAAATGGGTCAATGAATGAAAGGTCTCCAATGCATTTTAATAAAATGTAACTCTCAGAATTAATATTGTAAAATTAAACAAGATAAAATATGTGTGTTTCAAGGGTAAATAGAATAATGCCCCCTGAGAAGAAGCCTACATCCTAATCCCCAGAACCTGTGGATACATCAGCTTACATGGGAAAAGGAATTTGCAAAAGCGATTAAATTAGGAATCTTGTGATGGGGACACTATCTTGTAGTATCTGTGTGGATTCAATGTAATCACAAGAAACCTATAAGATGTGGCAGGAATGTCAATGTCAGACATGGAAGCCTTACGTCAAGGACCCCTGGCGGCCTCTGGAAGCCGGAAAAAGGCAAGGAAATGGATTCTTCCTGAGAACCTCCAGAAAGAACCCAGCCCTGCAATGCCTAGATTTTAGGCAGGTAAAACCCATGTCAGAACTCAACCTCCAGAAACATAGGAGAATAAATAGGTGTTTTAGTCTGCAAAGGTCATGGTAACTTGTTACAGCAGCAGTAAGAAATTAAACCGTTGCTGACATAGTATCCTGAACATATCGGAAATAATCAGAACTCTCTCATCTTCTAGAGGAGGAAATGGAGGCTAAACCAAGGTCTTGGTCTAAAGGAAAAAGTGGCAGAGCCTGTATTCAAGATCAGTGCTCTTTTCACAAAATCACAACTGCCTCTAGGAGCCATTTATAGTTCTTTACATTCCAATGGGGAGCCACAGGTGGCTAAGTGATGCCTTGGCTACAGGGTCCTCCCTTCCCTCTCCCCAGGGAGTCCCACCATGGCTGACCCCTGCCAGGTAGATGGGGGTGGGTGGGGCAGGCTGCCAGCTCCCACCTTTCCTCCTCTTCTTGGCTAATTGTTACCCAATGAGCCACTGCGCTCTCTGAGCCTGTCTCCCAACAGAACAATTAGTCTTAGAAACCTGCTTCCAGGAGCCACTCCACGGATGGTGCTAGAAGTGCGACGTATACATCACATCACGTCCTTCCAGCAACATCCGGGGACTCCAAGGCTCCATTTGCTCCCCTTCTGTGTGTCTCTTTCTGCCTCCTCCCACAAAAGCACTGAGAAAACAGAACCTCAGTTGGATGACTTCATATTTTCCTATTCTGTTGGTCTCTGTTTTTGTCAAAACATGTTTCCAATTAATGAAAGATAATTTCATTTAAGATGCAGGATTGCCCAGATTCATTGTGACAAACTCACTGCAGAGGTTAAGATGATAAATCCAAAAATCGGTGACGTGTCTTGGCCTCCTCAGTCCTGGGCAGTGTTCTGTGCTTGAATCTTAAGGCTTCAATTACCGCTGAATATTTGAGGCAGAACAAGTTCCAGAAAGTTCCTCAATCCCACTTTATGTCCTCAGAGGCTGGTACATTTAAAGAGCAAAAATTTGGGCTTGAGTTTTAGGTTATCTACTAATTGGCCATGATGCATTAGTGGATTCACTTAAGCAATTAGACCCTACTTCCCTTACCTATAAAATAGGAAGAAAATGACTTCTCAAATTTGAGTTTACATTCAGATGGTGTAAACATCACATGAAATGATGTGTGTAAAATGCTTAGCATCTTGAGAGCAAGTCTCAATAAACCCTAGCTACCAGCATTGTCAGATCACTACAGTGTTTTTAGTATGATTTATAAATTTAATACACTAATAGTATTATTACATAATTTTCCAAGCATTATTATGAAAATCTATACTATAAATATTGTTTATCTATAATATAGTTATTGATATATAGGTATTAGACAGTCTGTATAGAGATAATTATATGTATAAATTATTATATAGATTTATCTCTATAAAAAATGGGAAGTACTGCACACATTTAACTAGATCTTTCCTCATAGATCATTTATAATCATCTACATAAGAATCTATGTACAGATTTTTCGTATTTTTCATCTTATAAAAGACATGATGTAACCACAAAACCAAGCCTTGTAGGTGCGTTTCTGATTGGGAGAATTGCTCCATTTCCTAGCCGTTTATGCCCAGACATTCATCCTGAGTAATTCCCTAAGATACATCTGGTCCTCACATTCTGCCTATTCACAGCCCTCAGGCCATTTCACATTAATTGACCTTTTATTAGAAATGCTCCATCCCCTCCCTTGGCTTCTGTCACATGGAAGCTTCTGGGTTTCCTCCTATCTCTCAGACATCTTCTTACTTCCTTTTGTCTCCTATTCTCCTGTAACTGCCTTGCCCTCACCTGAGGCCATGTTATCCCCTCCCTCACGTATCTACTATCTATGACTGAAGCCCCACCTCTCTTTGGGGGACCCTTGCTCTATGCTAAAAGCCTCTCCTGCTAAAGCCTGCAGTGGCTTCCACTGTCTCTATAATAACACCTGAGCATCAGGCAGAACAGGAAAGATGCGAACATGAGCAGGGGAAGGAAGCCCCTCCAGGAGGGGAGGTGGAGGGCTACTCCCTGCAGATGAGGTGGCCTGGGAGAACGCTGAGAGCCCAAAAGCAAGACAGTGCCTCTGAGAAACACTGGCTCGGCTGGAGCCAAGATGCGGAAAACAGCATCCCCAAGACAGGCTGGTGCACTTGCCCATGAGCTTCGTGCTCAGGTTGTAGGCACGGCACGGAGGACAGTCAGGAATGGTGGGAGGTTTGGAAGAAGGGGATGATCTGACCGATATACTTTTCAGAAAACAACACGATCCCTTGAATGTATTGACATTCAATAAAAACTTATGGAATTAAACTGAACCAAAGATCTGGTTTGCCAAAAAGAAAGCCTTTTGGGAACCTCAAACACACAAGTGTCGCTATTGCTGGCCTGCCTGACAAGAGACCATTCTTCCTTCTGCTCCAGGACGGCACTTTCTTGGTCCGAGACTGTTCCACGAAGTCCAGGGCAGAACCCTATGTTTTGGTGGTGTTTTATGGGAACAAAGTCTACAATGTGAAAATCCGTTTCCTGGAGAAGAATCAGCAGTTTGCCCTGGGGACAGGACTCAGGGGAAATGAGGTGGGTATAACCTGACAGGGTCCCTTTTCCAGACCAATGACAGCAAGGGGATACGTTGGGGGGTGCTGGCCAAATCATCAATCACATCCCCATGACTGCTGGGATAGGAGAAAAGAGCGCCGCCCTAGAGGTGGATACTGTAATTCCCTCCCAGTCCCTTCTACAAGCATCGTGCCCACCTTACGCTTCAGCCCTCGGGGACCCAGCCAGCCCTGACCATTCCATGCACCCTCACCAATGCTCTGCCCATTAAGGAAAACTCACTCTGCAGGATACATCTAAGTTCTGCCCCCCAGGGGCCCCCTCTGAAGCCTGTGTCAGTGTTAATGTCACATTCCTTCCCCACCCCAGGGCCAAATTCCCAATGCAGACATCCTGACAACATCCGTTGGCATTAGGTATCCTTAGGTTTGTGTCTCCAAATTGAATGTGAGCTCAATCACAGCATTCAGTGCCTTGTTAGTTTGCCCAACCCAGTATGCATCTGCTGATAGGTGGCTAGGTGACAGAATCAATCAATGAAGGCATTCATGATAACTATATACAAAGAGGAGAAAGGAGACTGATTTGGGCTGAATGTGTTTCTGGTAGGCCTGGTCTATCTGCATCGTCTCACATTAACCCATAACTTCTCCCTGACATAACAATTGCTCCGACCTTCCATATAGGGAAACTGAGGCTCAGACAGTTCTGTAAATGGCTAGAGACAAACAAATAGTAAGTGAGAGGGCAAGGAGAAGCTACTCTTTCAACTGTTCTTGGAAGGAAGGCAAGAAGGGGGGGATGGTAGGGAAGGGTAAGGTTCAAGTTCAGAGTCACCATCGACTAACTCTGTGAGCTCAGGCCAGTGACTTAACTTCTCTGAGCTTTAGTTTCTTCAAATGTAATGTTCTTTTCTTGTCTAGACTCCTCTAATTCAGTGATTCTCATTTGGCATCTCCAGACCTCAATCTTATCTGTTGGTGTGTATTATAGGCTGAATTTTGTCTCCCACCTCACCTTCCAAATTCATATATTGAAGCCCTAACAGCTAGATAGATTAATGCATAAATCTGCTAAACGCAGCCACAATAAGAGAGCATTACAGCAAAGCTAGAGAGAAGTCACCAATTTTCCCTTTTGTGATGAGGATTAGTGACTTACCGAACACAGAACACTCCGAGCCAGCCTGGGGCTTAGCAAGCCCATGGTTTAAGTGTTAGTTATTATATTTTTCCCTGTTTTTCCTGAGTCACTGTAATACCTGGGGTACAGCCCCCCTTAACCAGATGCCTATGGTTAGTGAACATCCCAGCTCAGTTTCCCTCTGTTCTCTATCTCCTTCCAGTTCATAGAATTGCTCATATTATTTTAAAAAGCCATATTTGACTTTTAAATGTTCGGGACACACAGAACGTGGAAGTCATGTGCCCTGACCCACGGGGCCCCTACTAGATGCCGTGTCCTTTTCTCTCTCATCTGGCCCTCAAAAACCTCTGGGAAGGACGTGTTCCTGAGCCCCTTCTACCAGCGAGGGAGGAAACAGACCTAAAGAAGTCACCCCTTTTCCCTCAGCATGGCACACTTTGGTCTGCTCATAAAAGCGGAAACGGTAACCCAGGGCTGGCATCTGAATACCGTTTAATCAGATTGTCAGCCGTTTGCTGCCTCCACAGGGAAGCAGTTACCATCTGTGACTGTCCAGATCAGGCCATCAGCTTCCAGGTGAGCTGTTCCAGCTGTGGTCATCAAGGCCCCCTTAAGGATCCAAATGCCTATTTTAAGAAAACCCTTTTTGGATTATTCCGGAGTTTTCTCCTCCCATGCATTTCCCCCAAGCAAAAGTCTCCTTTTTCCTGTATTTATGTAACACTTACATATGTTTGCTGGGCACAGGAACCATCCTATGCAGTTAACAGTTACGAATTAAGTGGCTTGATTTTGTCCTCATAGCAACCCTAGGACTTAGGTGCCACCAATATTTCCATTTAACAGACGGTGACACGAAGACAGAAATGTTAAGTAACCGCCCCCGCCCCATCACAGCAGGTGCACGGCAAGGCTGGGGTTCATTTTTCATCCTTCAAAACTACTCATATGGTCTCGGATAACATCGTGACCAAATGCAAACAATCCCCTCCCCCACTCCCTTGAAAACAGACCAGAACGTGGGTGGAGGAATCGTTAACACTTTTCGGGAAGCTTCCTGTGTGCCAGGCACTGGGTGAGAAATGACGCTTTACACTGTTTCTTCCTGCCCGTGCTCCCAAGGAGCGGGCACTGGTAAGAGGCTGGGACGGTCTAGCGTGCTCTCAGCTCCCTCCTGCCCCCCACCATGCGTGGGCACCCCGCCTTGCTGGGGGAGACTCTCCCAGCTTTACAAAAGGGAGAAATAATTGGATACAGTAAGCCTCTGCTGAGTACAAGCCAGCCACTAGCTACTTCATCTGGAGCTTGAATACAGAAAGATGGTCTTAGTCTGACACTGCAAGAGAAAGAAATGAGATACAGGAATGTCGGGGACAATTGTGGTTTTGCATGGCTTTGGGGCTGTCTTGCAAACTTTAGAATTTAACCACATATCCAATGCAGCAATGCCTATCTCCAGGGAGTTATTACATGTAAGATGAGGTCATGTAAATAGAGCCGAACTCATAAAGGCAGGTGTTCCATGAGTTTGCATCGTGAATGATTCCAGAAAGCCCCTGCATCAGGCTTGTGCACCCGGGCAGAGGTGAGGTGCAGCTCTTCCCAGGACATGGAGGGGGGCCGCAGGGGAAGCCTGGACAAGGCCCCAGAAGGCGAGCAAACCCACACACGTCTGCCAAGAATAAGCCTGGGAAGGTCCATTTTATTGCAGATTAGGTATTTGCGTCATCCAGTTAGCCACGTGGCTAGAAACTCATGTCTCAGTTCAGATTTCAGAAGGACCCATTGCCTTTATTCTCTGGGGCCTGTAACAAAGTACTGCAAACTTGGTGGCTTAAAACAACAGAAATGTGGAGCACCTGGGTGGCTCAGTCGGTTCAGCGTCCGACTTCGGCTCAGGGCATGACCTTGCGGTTCGTGGGTTCCAGCCCCACATCGGGCTCTGTGCTGACAGCTCAGAGCCTGGAACCTGTTTCAGATTCTCTCTCTCTCAAAAATAAATATTTAAAAAAAAATTGAAAAACAGAAATGTATTCTCCTGTGGTTCTGATGGCCAGATATCTGAAATCAAAGCATCAGCAGGGCTTCTGGACTTGGAGGGAAGGGATTCTTCTTTGCCCCTGTCACCTTCTGGCCGCTGTGGGCAATCCTTGGCTCCTTGGCTTACGGACCACATGGCTCTAATCTCTGCTTCCATGGTAATGCTGCCTCTTCCTTTTCTCTGAACAAATCTCCATTCTGGGGACACGGAGTCTATGCCGGCCAGGGAGACCCTGCTAATTTGTGCCCATCTCTGCATGGGGTGAGGCTGGAAATATTTAGCAGCTGGTAGAATCCCAGCCCTGGCCAGAAGAGGCACCTGCCGTTAATAACCTGAGGAACTTCATCTGCTGCCAGACGTGAACCCTGCATCTAAGTTTAGAAATCATGTTTGTCAACATTTCTGTGAAAGCTCATAGAAGGGAGCAATTTCAATCATCAGACCATTTCTTGTCCTGCAAATGGTTATAATTAAGTTACTGAAAATTATGATAGATTTTTTTTTAGTTTATTTATTTATCTACAGCAGGGGGGCGGGGCGGGGCAGAGAGAGGGAGAGAGAATCCCAAGCAAGCTCTGCACTGTTAGCACTGAACCAGCGGGGCTCAAACTCACACACCATGAGATCATGACCTGAACCCAAATCAGGAGTCGGAGGATGCTTAACTGACTGAGCCCCCCAGGCTCCCCTACTTGATAAACTTTAAAAACTAGTAGACAGAGACATCCAATGAACCATGAGCTTGCGGCTTCTCATTTCTCCCGTCTGCTTCTTCTCTTTTCTTCTTTCACTCCGATGCAAGTGCCCAAATAGATTTACTTACCTTTCTGGCAGTGAATCACTGCCTACAGCTGGTATAGAGGCCAAACACCAAGGATTTAAACAAACTTTTAAAATTTTATTTAATGTTTATTTATTTGAGAGGAGAGAGAGAGAGAGATTATGAGCTGGGGAGGGGCAGAGAGAGAGGAAGACACAGGATCTGACGCAGGCTCCAGGCTCTCAGTGGTCAGCACAGAGTCTGATGTGGGGCTTGAGCTCACGAACCGCGGTCACGACCTGAGCTGAAGTCAGACGCTTAACTGACAGAGCCACCTGGGTGCCCCCCCTTTTTAAAATTTTTTAATGTGTTTATATGAGAGAGAGACACACACAGAAAGAGAGAGCGCATGAGCAGGAGAGGAGCACAGGGAGAGGGAGACACAGAATCCAAAGCAGGTTCCAGGCTCTGAGCTGTCAGCACAGAGCCTGATTAGTAAACCAATTTTTTAAGATTTAATATCACGAGGACATTTCCTCTCCTCCTGGAGAAAATGTATTTAATGTAAAAGTAAGACCTTAATTATAATATGTTTTACAAGTCTCTTTAATGTATCAGTTGTGGGCCTATCATGAAGAGGGAATAATAAGAAATGATGCCTTGCTTCCTACCACTTATTAAAATTATAATTTCATATAAAATGGCATCCATGCAGTAGATTATTGAAACAATTAATCCTGAGCTCATTATTTCAAGACCATCCTAAAGATAACTGGATTGAGAATATTCTGGAAGCAAGTACTTTCCCTCTGAAGATGAACATCAGGGAAGAGGCTTTCCTTTGTGTCATGTGGGTTAACCAATTTTACAGAGGAGTTCCACGTGAGAAGTTTCTTTTCATTACTTTTAGTTCTGTCAAATGTGAAAAAAGAGGAAATTCTGTTCTTAGTTTATAACTGGAAATGAAAGACCATTAAAAAAAAAAAAAGCCTTCCTGAAGGTGTAGAAAGCATACAGTGATAGTCTTATCAACCTCTCCAGTGATTTCATTGCTTTGTTCATGTCCTCGGCAAACCTAGAAAGGATGAGGTCATAGTAATGACTGACATTTATTGAGCACTCACTGTATACCAAGTTCTCTTCTAAACGCTGTATGTGCGTCAACTCAATTAATCCTCACAATGGCCCTCAGAGGTAGGTCCTGATGTTACCATCACTGTTCGTAGAAAGAGAAACTGAAACAGAGAGTGTAAGAAACTTGCCTGAGGTCACGCAGTTAGTGAGTGGGAGAGCCTAGTTCGGAACTCAGGCACTTGGTCCCCACATGCCCTTCACCTATGACCTTGCAACACAACACTTGCTTTCCCCATGTGACCACCAGCAAATTAGCAGCAGGTATGAACTGGTACCTATTGTATACCTATTGTCCATTAGGGGTGGACAGATGCATTATCTCACTGAAACTAAATCCGGTAACAGGCACAGAGGGGCAGGTCACTTACAGAATTAGTCAGGGCTGTTGTTAGTGTGAAAAGACAGAACCCAAAGTCAGATGAGCTTGGGTGGGAACAATGGGGATCCCTGTGAATTCCGTCATTGGGACGGGCAGGAAAAGAGTGGATCCAGGGACTGATCCATGTCAGGAAATTCATCATTCCCTGCCTTTTTCCCCAAGTCTTTTCCCCAGGGTGATGCCTCTTTACTCTTCACACCTTCCTCAAGTGGCGAGAAGGATGGGACCGCCATGGCGGTTACAGGTCTCTAGCATTTCAACTCAGAGCTCCCCTGAGGAAAAACTCCCTTGAGTTCCCTCCCAGCAGCAACAAGCAGCCCCAAGGGGAGGTCCCTCTTGAGTTGCAAGTTGACTATTTTCAGAGCACATTGTCCCTAGATGAAATTATCTACTTGTACAGGAAGCTATTTTCCATCTGTCCCCGCTAAATGTAATCCCCGTGAGGACAGGCACCACAACCATCCCATCCCCTGCTGGATGTCCTGAAGGCCTGCAAACATTTCTGTGGGGGAGGGGGTGCACTGGGCAGAGGGGGGACTGTGTAGGACACTAGAGCAGCATCAAAGTCATCCCCACCGTGGGTCCCTCCCTTCGGGCTGCATTGTCTCTATCCTGGTCTGTTGGAATCCAGGGTCACAGGCCAGAGGCAAGCTGCAGAAGGGAAAGATCAGACTCATGTCCAAGAAAACCAGGTTCCATTCCTGGTCCTGGCCCCCTCACTCTTTGACCTTCCAGCAGGTCAGGCCACGTCTCTGATCTGCAGTTTCCTTAGCTCTTCTGTTGAGGCCGTTCTACCTGCCCTGCCCACCTCATAGGGTTGCGGCCAAGGAGGATTGAGGGTGTGCATCGTCTTAAGGCGTGCCAGGCAGGCTGGGCAAGCTCTCCCTACTTGTCCTCCAGCATCCCCTTGGAGAACACACCCAAACCCAGCTCATCGAATTCACTGGCTGTGCCCTCATGTTATCAACACCTGTCTTCATTCATGCTTCTTCCTCTGCTTTTAGGATTCTTAAACCCTCTTGTCCCCTTATCTAAAATCACCCAGAAGATATAGCCCATTTCAAGCCTGCATCTGCAGCAAAGCACATCCTGATTCCCTAAGCTTGAAATAATCCTTGGCCACCTGGGTGGCTGAGTCAGTTAAGTGTCGGACTCTTGATCTCCACTCAGGTCATGATCTCATGGTTCATGAGTTGGAGCCCACACTGGGCTCTGCATTGAGAGCTCCAAGCCTGCCTCAGATCTTCTGTCACCCTCTCTCTGCCTCTCCTCCCACTCGTGCTTGCTCACTCGCTCTCTCTTTCTCTCTCTCTCTCCCTAATAAGTAAATAAACTTTAAAATAAATAAATAAATAAATAATCTCACTGTCCATTCGGTCACCATAGCTCTTTATCTGTGCATCTCCAGAAACATAAAAATGTAAAGATCTGCTATCACCTCGGTGTTTCACAAGAAGCCCTCGGAAGGAAGTGACATTGGCTAACAGCTACCGGCACCTGGTGGCTGGCTCTGCTCCTTTTGATTACCCCAGGAGTCCTTGGAACAGAGGGGTTTCTGGGATGGAAGCTCACTGAGGCCTTCCCACCAGTTTACTAAGTGAAGGTGGAGCCCTGACCCCACTCATTTTGGTCTCCCCAAGAGCCCCGCTCTCCTTTATTAGTTTATCGTTTTTATCACTCATCCATTGAGAGCTGGCTGTCCACATTCTTTAAAAAGAATCACTTTCTGACACACCTTTACAATTACAGATATAGATATAGATGATAGAGATACAGATATAGATATAGATGATATAGATCTATCTATCTATCTAGAGAGAGAGAGAGAGATTGAAAGAGATTGGGAGTTAACTTCTTTCCCGAGTAAAATGAAGCATCTTATTCTGTGCTTTAACCCACGGACACAAAAGGTACTTACATTTTCATTAACTTTCTTTTGCATTCCAGAAGTTTAATTCGGTGGAAGACATGATCGAACACTACAAGTATTTCCCCATCATGCTAATTGATGGGAAAGATAAAACTGGAAGCCACAGGACACAATGCTACCTGACTCGGCCGCTCCCCCTCAGCTGATCTTCTCACCTTGGTACCCTAGGCTCTGTGCTTTCTCCAGTTCAGGGGATCCAATATCTCTACCCATTTTTCATTTATTTCAAAAGATGATGTTCCATAGCTTCGAGGGATCACTTCCTTGACTTCGGAGAAAAAGAAAACCATTTTATCATGGAAATTGGAAAATCAATCTCGGTTTTGAAGGTTCAAGCCACAGATGAAATATTTCTAAGAAGCAAAAAATAAAACCCGGGTTTTGGAAACGTATCATCGAAAGAAAAAACTGTAAACGTGATCACCGTGCTTATGTCACAGATGAGAAATAAAAGCAACAAGAAGCTATGCTTAAACGTTTGCAGCTCGCACAGGACAGAGCTATGTGAGACTCCTGAGTCTATGTTCTTTATAGGACCTGGCCCTGCCTTTATTTCAGAAGGGGTAGGAGTTGTAGATTTATGTTTTTGAGATTCCTTATGCTAAAGATATTGGTGAATGTAAGCTCTATTGTATTTGTGATCCTGGAAATTCAATCATAGGAACAAGTGTAGTAGAAAAGGAGTCTGCTTGTGAATATCACCTGGAAGAAATCAGAAATACTCTTACTCTGGTGGGAAACGGCCCGGCTCCAGGACTCTGTGTGGAGTGTCTTTAAGACAAATGGAATTAGCAGAAATCGTAGTCAGGGAGTACACTGAAGTCTGAGTGAAAGTTCAAAAAAAAGTTTTTTAATTTCCATGGTGGACTTCCCTTCAAAGGAAGAGAACCGTCTTCATATAAGTGTGACCTTGAAGGAACATTGCACACCTCCCAATATTATCATCTCCGAAGGCTAAGAGGACCTTATTTTATTCCTATTTTACGATACAGACAAGGAAAAAGAGGCTCAAAAAGGTTGCTGATCTCACTCAATAGAGAAAAAGAGCTCACTTTTTTTTAACATAATTTATTGTCAAATTGGTTTCCATACAACACCCAGTGCTCATTCCAACAAATGCCCTCCTCAATGCCCATCACCCACTTTCCCCTCTCCCCCACCCCCAATCAGCCCTCAGTTTGTTTTCAGTATTTAAGAGAGCTCACATTTTAATCCATTTTGCCTGGTTCCATCCAAGCACACTTTACCATGTACATTCCCTGTAGAATTATACAATCAAGTTGAAAAGCTAAATTAAAGACAAAGAAATAATTTGAAAATACAGATTTACCTACATGAAAATGTATACATAACTGAACCCTTTAGTGGAGTAAGTTAAAAGAGAGAGAGAGAGCTCTGGCTGAAATGAATGTACATAATGACTTCAAATGTTACCAAAGCCTGTATGTGAAATTTATGGAGTATTTATGCAGTAGTCGCTTTAACGCAGAAGCAAAGTCAAATAGAATTAGAAGGGAAGAGATACCAATGGAAACAATACAAAACTATGCTCAGGATCATCTCATCTGAAATAGCAGCCAAGGAGTACTCTTAAAGGGGCTCTGGGCACCTACGTACAAACCAACAGCTGCATAGGCTCTTTGCTTTCACAGGGTCAGTAGGAAGTGATGCCTCTGAGTCAGGTTGGGAGCATTTGATGAAGAAGGTCCTTGTCAGTTAGGGCTCTTGATATCCAACTGAGCCTGCCTTTGAGAGCACCCGCACAGGACAGCATGTGAACCAAGAGGCAAGAGTCTGAACCGGGGCTTGGCCACTTAAGGATCAGACAGCTCAGAACTGAAGGTAGTATGTTGCAGTTTGCTCTCAGCTGGACTTTGGCAAACCCAGGCTGGCGTGGAAACAGGCTGTGCAGAGCGCCACAGCTCGTGTGCAGGAAGAATAAGACCCTCCTTCTACAAAGCTATTGGGAGATGGCGGAGAAGTCCGATATGCCTGTTCACCGGGGCCACGCCGTTCAACACTGTGCGTGCAAGAATTGTCTGAGTCTCTTCAAGTGCTGTGGTAGTTAAAATAGATGAGCCTCAGGTGGTGGCTGGTATTTTACAAGACTTCTGTCTTTCAGAATGTTTTATTCATAAATGCTCAAAATGATGGTAAGAGGAAAAGGAAGTAGAAATTAACCATCTTAAAATAAAAATCCCACGATGCTTATACATATAGAAATCTCTGTAAGGAAAATTTCAAAATATTGACAGGGTTGCTTTTTAGATGGTTAGGGCTTGAGGGACCATGTTAGTTGGGTCTTCTAGAACTCAGATGCCAAGACAGGAGTTAGATGTGCAAACATTTGTTGGAGGTAATGCCTGAGAAAGATAAAAGGGAGAAGGAACAGGATGAGGCAGGGAAAGCCTTTAGGCTGTGATGTAGTCTGATCCTATGAGAAGGGAGAGGGAAGGGGTCCTGGCCAGTCCACCTTTATGATCCTGAACAAGTACTGCCCATAGAGGAGACAGTCCCATGCGGGGCAGAAATAGTTAGGTCTCAGTACAGCACCGTGTAAGTCACTGCCAGAGGCTGTCCAGGAAAAACACAACCTTCAGATACTATGGGAGATCCAGAAGGTGCTGCAGCAGGAGGCTGTCAGATAACTCACTGATTAGCAAGTTCTTTCAAGAGCGAACTAAGTGCCTACCACCAGACCTGCCATAGCAACTCTGGTTCTCAGTGTTGACTGTGAGAAGGACGTACTGCTTGTAATAGATTACTGAACAATAAGGATATATAAACCTTAATTGTATTTTGTTCTTAGAACAGTTTTGTAAAGAAGGCAGGACAGGTATTCTTAACCCATCATATAATTGAGGACACTGATCTCATTGGCCCAAATCTTACAGTGACAGAGTTATGGCTGAACCAACATCTTCATACACAATGCTAATCAGTGTCTAGCTGTTTAGTGGATCTGTAAATCAAAGTTAAATGAGAGGTTGGGCTGGCCCAAATTCCAAAGAGGGTTAATCCCTCTTCAACTAGTATTTTATTTTCAATTGAAAAGTGTCACTCGATTCCTAGCCTCAATAGGGGAGGGAAATGTTAGCTTTGTCTGATTATAGCATCTATGCATTCAAGACACTTCTTTGACTAAATAACTACCATTGTGGATCAATTTATATCTTGCTCATCTTTAAAAATACCTCGCTGTAAGCACTTGTTTGAGTAGTGCATATGTATTCATTGCTAAGCACTCTTGAGAACGTTGCAATTCTAGTGGTGAATGAAAGGGAAGACATCAAAGAGTAAGTACCCAATAAATAAGATAATCTACTTCAGTGCATTTCCATTTTAACACTTATCAGAGTGCTTGTCACTGAGGCCAACATTAGTTATGTTGATGAGGCTTATTCAAATGGTTTTTAAAAGTTTTGAACCAGAATGTTTTAAATTTTTCCAAATTTATTCAATGGAAAATTCCCCCATGTGGGGATATGCGTGTGGGAGAAGATGTGGGTGTGTGGCTTGTGGGTGTGTTTGAGCAACTATATCACAGCTGAAATCAGTTAAGTTTTCAATCAAATTTTGCCCCCTTGTCAAATTTAGCCCATTGCCATGTATGTACACATAAGCACATTTTCATAAGATGGTCTGTATCATATATGATTAGCATTACATTTGCGTATCCATTTTTGTATCCTAATATTTGTCCTAGCTAAGCACATTTACTATCTTTTGAACATTCACGATTTATAGCTGTGCTAAAATAAATGAAAGCAAACGTGTAATTAAATGTCATAGTATGTCTGTAACTGAGTATTAAAGAAAGAAGTCAAAATATAGTTTAATTTTGTTCGTTGCATGCCATGCCCTACTAGCCTTGAGGTCATAGTTAGGATAAACCTATGACAAAATTTCTAAAACAATTTTTGACTGAGACATATGAGGCATCAGGCCACACTAAATCTGGGGAATAAAGATGGAAAAGACCTAATCCCTGTGACTGAAGGCTAAAAATTTGGCAAGCAAGATACACATGTAATTAAAATCATGCAACACAGAATAACAGATCTGCTAATTCTCTCCCTTGTGCCACCATTGCATTGGTAGACACACTGCATTGGACGTGTGGGGTGGGTGCTTGAAGACCTGCTCAGGGGAGACATTCAAGCAAAGAGTTGAAGGATAGCCCTAGAACCCAAGCTTTAGAGGTACAAATACTTGGTCTGTTTCTGAGTGCTCCTATCCTTAGGGCTCTATTCTAGGCCATTCTTTTTTTTTTTTTTTTTAATGTTTATTTATTTTTGAGAGAGAGACACACACACAGAATGAAAGTGGGGGAGGGGCAGAGAGACGGAGAGAGAATCTGAAGCAGGCTCCAGACTCTGAGTTGTCAGCACAGAGCCCAGTGTGGGGTTGGAACTCACAAGTGATGAGATCATGACCTGAACCGATGTTGGACACTTAACCCACTGAGCATCCAGGTGCTTCTATTCTAGGTCATTCGTGGCAACAGACAAACAATTACTATCTTGCAAATGGGTACAAGAACACAACAGAATTGGCATCCGGGGGAAAGGACAGATGATTTATTAAACAGGCTCACCATATAGAAAAAAAAATACAATCGTGTCCCCTACTTCAAATCATACACAAAAATTAATTCTCCATGGATCAAATAGCTGAAAGTGAAACAGAAAACTTTAAATCGAGTATTGGTTTTCTTCTAATAATTTTTTATGATTTGAGGATAGAAAAGAGTTCCTAAACCACATGGAAACATGAGATATAAAGGAAAAGATTTATAGATTCATTACACCAAAGCTTAAAATGTTTGCAAAAAGTCAGACAACGTCAAAAGGCATTTAAACAACTCTGTTGAAGTATGAGCAAATAATATAAACACACAATCCACACACAAAAAGAAAACTCTTCAGCTTGGAAGATGCCCAGCTCTGCTGTCCTAACTGGACAGTGATGGAATTGATACAGGGTGTCAAGAAATGCCATCATGGAATTGAGCTATCTTTAAGGACAAACGATGTGAAGCTTAATGGAGCAGAGCCAGTGGTGGAATCCTGGCTCCTCTGGTCCCTAGTCGCACAGCTGGGCAGTGACCCACGTGAGGGAGACCTTAGCCAGAATGCTTAAAGAGAGGCCAGAGGCTTAAAGAGGGGGCAGCCTCCCATGAGAATGGCAAGTGGGCTTCCTGTCTGCACAGAGACAGAAGCAAAATGGGCAAATGAAGCCAGACCACTCCTCTGTGCTCACAGAGAGTCTTGCTGAAGTCAAGGGCAGTTACGCAGGAGCCTCCCTTCATGGTGGTCTGACAGCTGCTTCCTCAACAGGAGCTGGAGAAACATTAGTTAAAATAACAATTACAGGGACTCCTGGGTGGCTCAGTCAGTTGAACATCAGGCTTTTGATTTTGGCTCAGGTCATGATCTCGCTGTTCATGGGATCGAGGCCTACATCAGGCTCTGTGCTGACAGCATGGGGCCTGGTGGGGATTCTCTCTCTCTCTCTCTCAAAATTAATAAATAAATTAAAAAATAAATATAAGCAATTATATAGCACTCTCCATCCATCAGATTGGTCAAAATTAAAGACTTTGGATAATATAAAAAGCTGGTGAGGATCTAAAAAAGTAGTTTCTCAACTACCTGTTGGAATATGAATCAGTATAGTGCCATAGAAAGCAAGTTAAAAAGAGTAAAATATAAAATGTATGACCCACTGCAATAAAAATTTCAATTAAAACGTGGCTAAATATGAACTTAAACTTTCTCTCTGAAAACTGCATTATAACAACAATAGAAGAATTGAAAAGTCAAGAACATATGATAAATGGAATGGCAGAAACTGGCAGAAGAATAGAGACATCAAAAAAATTGGGGGTGAGGGGAACTAAAAGGATAAATAGTAACTGAGTTAACAAAATAGAAAAAGCTAAAATGTAAGCCTGCTAGGAGGAAATTCCACAAAAAAAAATAAGATGCTTCCCATTACAAAAATCTGGAAAGGTTTAGAACTTGGAGTCAGTGGTTACCCTTAAATGCTGGTAAAGGGTCTGGGGTGCAAAGGGGATTCACTGATGGCCATCAAGAGAATCCATTATAACCAACACTCCTCCCCTGGGAAATCAGCAGCTTCCTCAGTCAGACTATCTCATCCTGGTGGCCATCCAGAGAATACACCTCTAGAAAATTTGAGAATTAGGCATAGAAGATCTGCTGAAAATGGGAAGTGTGTGCTGTCCTGAAACACAGGGTTTAAGTTAAAGTTTCATTCCCAATGTTTAGAGCTACAACCTCTTTTAAGCCCTAGGTTCCCAGGAGGAGCAGATAGAATCACAGCCCTAGACGGAAAGAGCAGAGTAATTCACTACAAATACTAGCAGGTGCTCTTCCCCAATAAAGAGGAGATCCCCACCCCACCGTGCTACAGTAGGGCCCCACCTATGCACAGACAAGTTCCAACTAGCATTTTGCGCCTTGCTCTTCTTAAATACAGTCAAGACCTTGGAGAAGACCTTCTAATGTGAAAGACATTAAACCAAACCTACAAACCAGAAAAAGGCAGGGGTGGGGGGGAGACAGAAGGGAAAAATATACTGTGGGAGGCTGAAGAAAACTACAGAGAGAATAGTGAATATGATCAGAGAGATAAAACACTGAATCTATGACACATGAACAGAATGCTATTGAGATAAATACTCAAAAGCCAAAACTGAGAACGCTAAATGGAAAAAAAATTAGCAAAACCACAATGATAGTTGGAAATTTTAACACGCATCTCTCAGAAACTGATTAAGTGATCAAAAATTAATAAAGCTACAAAAATCTTAAGAACACCATCAACCAATTAGATCTAATTGCCATTTATAGACAAGTTCACAAACAAATATGGAATACACATTTTATGTAGTCTACAAAGAACATTCACCAAGAA